TTACGGCTTGAGTGTTTGAAATGTAATGATCATTCAAATTTTAAGTACCCTTTCATTGAAATAACACTTAACTATCCAGCTACAAGGCTAACTTGTATACTAATTTTGATTTTTAAATTAATTATAATAGTAAACAATTAAAAGTGTACCATTATTGTAATAATTATTACATTATAAGTAACATTAATTCTCTTTATCATATTTTTAACAGACATTCTAGACACAAATGAAATGTAGTCGGATGAAAAACACGAGGTTCTCGTTCAGAATTTCCTTTGTTTAATTATGTTTATTCTGCATTCGATGAAGTACGAATACTAGAGAGAAACGCAAAAAGTAACAATTCTATTTTTTGTTTGCATTATTATGGATGCAGAAGTGTTGTATGGTATCTAAAAATATTTCCATGTATTATAAAAAAATAGCTTTGTTATTCTTACGCCTTTTGTTTCAGATTTTCCATTGACAAAGAGATGGAATTCGTTCACTGTACACTCTAATTGATAACAAAAGGTAACAAAACATAAACTTTTTTGAACATATACTATAAGCGGCTAAGCCTAAAAGTTTTAATTCAGTTTCATTAAGTCGACTTCCCTCTGAAGTGACTTTGCGAAATTGGTTCATTTGCGAATAATTTACGTGAAAACTTTAACAATGAGACATTACAATTGAATTGCTATTTAAATTTTCTCCCTCGTAAAATGTTTGCCTTCTTATTTGTTATTGACCTTTATCGATTAATAGTTCTTTTATTACTTTAACTAATATAAATAAATAAAAACTCTGTAATAAATGTAGCCAAAGTAATAGCATATAATATCAACTATCTGCCAGTGAAAATTTCTTCAAAATTGGTCTCGCCTTTTCAGGGTTTAACCGGAACAAACATATAGACAATTTTTTCTTTATCTACTATCTATGAATATTTAGCAAACAATGATTATTTTACTAATATCAAAAGACACTTCAAGCATATTAAAATTATAAAGATAGGCGATTCTAATATAATTTCATTCACGAATTGGAAAATATGTATATTATTTTAACTTATATGTCAGGAAAAAATAATCTATAACCTATTCTAATCACTTATCTATTTTGATTAAAACAAATGCTATAGGGTGCGCCAGAGAAACTTACTTATTTGAAAAAATTACCGCGCGGTGAGTTGGGCGGGTAGAGGGGCCAGAGAGGGCGCATCTGGAGGGGGAAGTTCCCAAGTTTGTTTTTCCCTTCAGTCAGCTGCCATCATACTCTGGTCCAGAGAGCAGCGGGCCTTCGCAGTTGAGAGCGTCTTTTCTAACGGTCGCTCGCTCTCGCGCTCGCTTTGAAATTCCTCCTCACAGACTCGTTCCTGGCCGTAATTCGATTCTGTCGTGGGTTAACTCATTTTGGGAGTGTGGAAGTGTCGCTAAACCCAGAAATGGACTTCAACGGACCATCAGAACTCCGGAAAATATCGAAAGAGTGAGGCAGTCAGTTGTGCGTTCTCCTCGGCGTTCGGCTCGCAAACACGCAGCTGCTATGGGAATTTCTGATACCACTGTTCGACGAATTCTCCATTAAGACCTTCAATTTTATCCCTATAAATATGCTGTTGTGCAAGAATTAACTGAACGCGATTTTGATGCCCGTCAAAATGCATATGAAATGCTGATTGACAACCTGCCTGAAGTCGCGGTCGTTTTTTTCAGTGACGAGGCTCACTTCCACATTTCCCTGGTTTAAGTCGATCGACCACGGACCATAGCACACCTCAAGAACAACATTCGCGACGCCATTGCCAACATACCGATTGATATGCTGCGAAGAGTGGATACGAATTTCAAAAATCGACTTCATCAGTGTATGCGCCATGGGGGTCACCATTTATCCGATGTCATTTTTAAGACTGCATTAAAAAAAAATTGGGATATTGTATTCTCAAATTAAAAAAAAATTAAAACAATAACTGAAGTACTTTTTTTTTAATTGATCTTTCAAATAAGTAAGTTTCTCTGGCGCACCCTGTATATTTAATAAATTTCTGTTTTTTATAATACGATCGTTACATTATACAAATTTTATTACAGTCAAATATAGTTGCCAAATGGTATACTGAAAGAAAATAGGTGTCGTTTTGGGATTTTTCCTTTTATTATCTTTGAAATTATTCAGCCGTTATTTATTGAAATCATTGACACACGTGAAAACTTTTTTATTAAAATTTTACATCGAATCTTTTATTGAAACTGTCCGGTTAAATGTTTCATGGAACATATATTTTATTTTTGAAATATCTTTTTTACAGAATGTCAAAAAGTTGAAATAAAATAATAACCATGTTTCTCGTATATATAAATATGTATGTATGAATGTGCGTGTGTGTTGTTATGGAATGTGAGGACATTCAAGTCTGTAATGTCAGTCGCTATTTTATTTGGGATGCGAACACTACCCATTACTTTCCTTGTCTTTCAGACTATACTTGTCAATTCCAATAGTGATATAATCATGATTAATCGTAGTATCGTGGAGTCTTTATATTTTTCGAGCTACGTACTCGTCTCTTAAACCCATGACACACGTTTCACGATTTCGTGCACTGTCTCTCTAGTCTGTGTGATTGGCTTTTTGCTTTCTCTCTGTCATTAATGATGAATGACACAATGTCGCTCTTCATTACTCTCTGCAACCTGCAGAATGACTACTACGTGATCTCGAAAGAAATAGAAAACTATTCTCACTTGACGATTGAAGACTTTCCCTAAAGCTCCGCTGCTTATGGCGTTTAGTGCTGGGTCTGGTTGTGTGGATCTGTTTGCATCATTTTTTTTTGATAACCGAATGATTTTAAGTGAAAACATTCCAACCTTCTGTTTATTGTGGCGTTACAAAGTGTCTCACTATAGTAACGACCTAATAAGTTTCCCTAACAGCGGTTACATTGGAAGTTCCAACGAAATTAGTTAAAACTTGTTAACGACACCTACTTCGCCCACAGAACTGGTGAAATAGAATGTTTATACTCAAATTGTATCAAATTTTCGTTGAATATAATATTTTCTTTCTGTATGATATTTCTTTTTTGAAATTACGTAATATTCTGCAACAGATGTAATGTGACAAAAACCTAAGTGTATTCATCACCAAAATCATTTATTTCCATATTAAAAACTAAAGCATATGATACACGATAAGAAATCATCCTAAATTGTCTAAATTAATTTACGAATATAATAATATTTTAATTATATTCAAATGTTATTTACATTTAACATATAAGAAAATTTTCTTCAACCTTCTCTCATATATTACCGTCTGAAGATTTAAATGTAATGTATTTTTAAGGCTTCGAGAGACGGTTTCATATAGCTTGGCAGCGATCCAAGTTGGAAACACGGAATTTAAAATGTAAAGGAATTGAGCTTCAAACTTTTAAATTGAAAACTTTTAAAATGCTAATTTATAAGAGGTCGCATTCAAAAAAACTAAGTAAGAGTGAATAGAGTGATTTAAATATTATGTAACTGTAAGAAACTAATAATAAAATAAGAGGAAAATATATGAAATAAAAATATAAGAGCACTCAATAAAGATTTCGAAACGTTAGAATTATGCTAACGAAGTGCACTCCAATGTTATTTATTTGTTTAATAAAGACTATATACAGGGTGACTGGTGAATTACTATCAATATTTAAGGAGAATACTCGGTACATAATTCTCATTCGAATTATGTAAAAAAAAGAGGTACTTAATTTTTGACCAAATTTCCGTATAAATAAATAATGTGTGGACACGTTCCAAGTGTTCCAAGTGTGGACGCGTGCGGCGGCGTGCTGATACAACACCACGCCGCCGCACGCGTGTGTGTGTGTATACCTAATCTGTAGGGTGTTCGCACGATGCGTAATTAATTACATTACTTTTGGTTAACCTTACTTAGAAGTTTATTAATATTTATGTTATATTAATTTTTATTTTGTCATATATGATCGTCAAATATCACGTCCTCAGGTATCGATAGTAATTCACCAGTCACCCTGTACATGCACGATTTATCTATCATTATAATAATAAAATATATTATTATATTAATAACTTCAAATCAAACAATGTAGTTTATATGTACATTTATCATAAAAATAAAATTCATGATGAAACTACGAAAGATTTTTAATCCTCTCAATCAAGAACTTATTTATCTCTTGGTAGATGCTACTCTATAATTATTATGAAACAGTATTTTTCATACGAGGATAGCTTAAAGAAATTCAGATCCAAAACCCGGTTCATATATTAAGTTACTCAAAATATAACAACGCGATCAAGGTTCGACTGTGAAGTCGTTTAATTAAATTAATAAATTGTTTCTTTCAAAACAAATACGCTTGTACTTAAAGAGATGCTGAAATTAATTTTCTTCAATAAATACTACATATGTATAATAATCTTTAAGAGTGGCCATTATAGTATACACATACTAAGTTAATGTGGAAAATTTAAATTATTTAGCTAAATTTGCTCAAACTTAGTTTTTAAATTGAAGGATTGATTTAATTTTATTTATTGCAACGACCGAACATTTTTTTAGTAATTAGTTATCTATTTAGTTTAACAGCTATTTCCCATATTTCGATATTCTAATACTCACATACAGGATTCATAAAAATTTATTTCGTGGAAAGTTACGAGGAACGGATAAAACCATTTAGAAATATCATCGGAAGTTGCAACAGTCATTTTTATCTGCATATGCAGATATATAAACAAATAGGTATACCAACAAAATATCTAGAAACTTCGAATCCGAGGACGCGAACTAACTATGGAAAAGGATTTAACTTAAAACAAAAATTAAAATGTATAAATCTTATTCTATATTTACTTCAAAAAATCATACAACTTTAAAATGGCATGGAAATTGAACTAATAAAACATTATTTTTGGCTTCAAATACGAATACCCATATAAATATCACTACAATATCAAAACTTTTTGCAAAATAATATGATATCAATCATCTATGGGCACACAAATAGGTCCAACTCTTTTATAACCAACCGGGCAGCCTGTATGAGATATCACACATTCAGGTTGACAAATCACCGTTTTCTGTACGTCTTCATCACAGACATCTTTCGTTTCATCTTTATCTATTACTAGTTGATTTGATTCAATTTCTTCGATTCGTTTCTTCTCCTCCGAAGCGAAATCCATGATCACTTTGATGTTTAAACACTTTCAGTTCAAACGGAATATTTATTAATTAATATTTGATAATAATATTATGATCCTACCGATAGCAAGACGGTTTGAATATTTACTTCTGCTCAAATGAAATAATTTAAATCTGCAAATGTATTTATAGTTGCGCATCATTGAATGTATTTATAATATTTGGCTGAACAAATTTCGCAAACGAAATTAGTTCTTATTGTGTTAGTAATAAGATGTATGTTAATATTGTAAAAGAGATTTTCATTTTACGTTTGCATTACGTGTACGCTTTTTACATCAAATGACTACGACAACAATTCTAGTTAGAAACGCTTCAGTTGTACAACTTTAAAAATATGACCACACCACAATCAAGAATATTAGAGAAATTCGATATTTTTTATGAAAAGCTGAAGTAAGTAAGTATATGAGTAATTGAGATTCCTTTAAAACTGACGACAATTTTTTATATAAAGAACCTGTACATATATCATTGATACATAAAAAAATCGAATAATCAATAATACATAAAGGATATTTTCTAAAAATGATTCTTTCATTTCATTTACAAAAGAACTCTTTAATGTTATGTATACGTTGTTATTTCCACCGAAGTGCTTCTACGAATATAAAAATATCGTGGGTTGCAAGAAAACTGCTAACAATATTTTAGGTAATGGCTCCCTCACCGAACTTTATGAGTTACTTATTCTTTTATATTCTTATATTTTTTTTTATCGTGTTAACTCTCGTGCGATGTACGGGTTTGTCCAAATGAATTCTATATATGAAGTATTACATGGAAGGTTTTTTATGTTACTCAGTGAAAGGGCTCGTATTTCTTATAAATAATATTTATTTTGCTTTTGATTTTTTCATAATCTTATAAGCTTGTGTGATTGGATGAGTAGGTAAATAATAGTGTTTACTAACGAAGTTTTTGTACTGTAAAATGACTTTCGATGAGAAATGTCCGCATTTCTTTATTAAATAGTAGTCAAAGACTGCATATATTAGAACACTCAGTTATTAACTATAATAAAAAATATATGTTACGTCTAATTCTCAACATGAATACCTAATACGTAATAATTAGATAATGAATATTTAATTTATCACAACAATAATATAACCAGTATTAATTGAATTAAATTCACCTAATTATAATTCATCTAGATTCCCTTTGTTAATCTGTAAGTCGAGTCTGAGCTTTGACAATGCATTCCGAAGTATAACACTCGAATGGTTTTCAAACTCCAAGCGAGAGAAGATTCTTCCGGGCATGAAATTTTCTTACATCTCTAATTGAAGCTAATAGAGCGGCCACCTCAATAGCAATTAATATCTATTAATTTCTTCGTTTTATTTAATTTACGATTCATATAATCAAAACCCTTCAATATACGTTATATAATTACGTGATGGCGTATTCGGGATAACATTGCTAACGAAATTATGCCCGATATTACGTACGTGTAATTAAATTTTGGAGCAAGCTTATCTCCATGCATAGCGTATAGATTGTTATGTGCTTTTGATGAAAACGCTCTATACAACTTATAATTATATGAGTTATCGGGTTACTATCTTGATGTCATTATAGTTATGATATACAATGCATGAGCCATTAAATACAGTATGTTATTGTTTTGTAAATGTTACTTTAAACATGATACTTTAAAATTACTCTTTAGGAAAAATCGATGAATAATTGCGTATGTACTTGTATGAATACATTTTAATTGAATCTATGTCTCTGAATTATCATGGTTTTATTCAGCTTCGTCTGCCTTGTAATAAGAAATAAACACTGCGTTTAATAAGGTATAACACATATATTAACGTATCATCTTTTCTTTCTTTTACATGTCTTCATACATGCAACAATTATGATAAACCGTGAAAAGTAGTGAGTGAAGTGATAAACTATTGATTATATCTTATGTTGATGTATATGCTATATTTTTGGAAAGTATCTACAAATTTCGTTCAGTATATTTCAGTTGATATACCAACAAAGATAGATTCGTCGCATTTAGAATATTAGAAGGAGAGTACCACTAACTCGGACCCATCAGTTGTCCTGAACGTTAGCTATGTCGCTCGACTAAGGGGGAGGTAACAATGGCGAATAAAATCATGCCTTTTTGTGTATACATCATTGCAGCGTTCAGTAATTTATTCGTTTATTATTATTTTTACGCAAACATATTAAAAATAACTGTTAGTTGATTGCTCAGATTCAATAAACTTGTAAAATTACACTTAAAATTTATTTTCTGACTACAGGCAGCCCTAGTAGCTTCGTTTCAAATTTGGTTAGGTAGAGAGGAGCTTGGACAGTTGAGGAGAGTATTATTTAACGTGGGTTAGATAGGGGCCCCTTAAACCTACACATGGGTTGCAAGTCCCAGGCACTATTGAAGCTCCAGTCCCTACAACTTTGAGTCAATGGAATGCGGAGAAGATTTTCGTCTATAAATGCTTAATTACTTAATAAAACACACTCGTTTTCTCAGAAATCTAATTGTTCAAAATTTTGGACTCAGGGATTGAATTTTCAGAATTTTAAAGTTGAAAATAACGTTACACGATTCTAAAGTTAATTTCATTAAAACTTTATTCGTCCTGATGAAGTTAGAGAATCTGTGACGTAAAAGTTTTTGGAATAGAAAGTTTGAGCCTTAATTCATATGTTACATATTCAATTTAAATAAGTCATATAAGTATATATATAAGTAGTTACAAAGCCTATACAACATACAAATAAAAGGTTTGTCAGTAGTTTCAGGGTAACGAGTTTATTTCCTTAAAACAAACAACTGAATTAATTTTCAAAATCAATACATAGTAAAATTTCTGTTCTTTCTTTCATATAGAACAATGCTTGTAAAATAATTAGAGTTTAAAAAGATCTCAGCTTTATAAGGTATAATTTATAATTACAAAATTAAAAATAATTTATGCATTGTGAACATGAAAATAACTAAAAATAATTTTGAACACGAAAACACACAATACAAGAGGATAGGCAACAATGTAATTTATAATTCATGGTACACTTATAAAAATCACTCAAGTTATATTTTTGTAGGCCGACAATCTATTGTTATTTTTACAACTTAGTAGGAATAATATAAAAATACAATTAGAAATACCTTTGAAAAAATTAATTTTTAGAAATTATAATGCTAATTGTATAAAACACATATGAGTAGAATTCAGCAATATTTTTACATGTAACGTGTTTCATGACGTATACATTACAAAAAAATATTAGATTATATGAATTACATATAGTTACATACAATTTGTTATTTTTTCAGTTATTTTTTTTTTGATATAGAATTTTAATCAGTTATTATATATTTTTTGTATGGAGTATTATTATTAGCCCTGCGGCTTTTGGAGCGTCACTGGAAGAGTGGGCCAGAACTGAAACATTTCTTTAATCAGTTAATACACAATTTTATACGTAATGCGATTACAAACTTCATTTTTTGATTTATGATTTAAATTATTTAATTCCTTGTGAAATAGTTCTTAAAATATGTATCTTTTTAAAAGAAAGTAACAAAAGACTGGATCAATAGTCTCTCTGTTTAACTCTAATTAATTTTTGTACGGTATTAATATCTAGTGTATTTCGTCTTCAGATTTAACATGCACCGTTCATTTAGTTATGAAACTAGCCGTTAAGTTAGAGACACACAGCTTCCAACGATATTAGACTCGCTAACGAGCGAAACTTAGCCATCAGAACGATCTTGGTCTGGACCAAGTTTGGAACTGATTCGAACTGAATTATTAGTACCGAGATAAAAAATAACTTGATTGTTTGTTTCATTATAAAGTTATTACTGAAAATACTTTAAAAATAAAAGTAACAGAATATAATCATTTCATAATAAAGTGACTAGTAGAAATATATGACAAAAAAAGTGATTCGTAAAAAAATGTTCCAAATATTTTATACCATTGAGAAATTGAGATACGATTTTTGGATATAGGTCCTAATCGCATTGAAACTGCAAAATGTGCAAAGAGCATAAAATGTTAGATGTCGTGTTCCCGATATGATTTTCTTGGATTTCCGGATTTTAGTCTAGAAAGACGTAAGTAAGATGTGCTTAAAATTTTCCCAATGCTTGTGCTCAGAAACGTGCTCTATCTATTGTACTTATTTTATAAAGAATGGATGATTGGAAGTAATCTCTCTTAAAGACGTTAAAATCTTAGAACAATTCTTTCTCTCTTGACACTAGGTTCCAATCCAATCATTACGTGGATTTTTTTTTAAAGTCCTTATTATTTCTTAACAAGATATATTCATTAAGAATACTTAGACAACATTTCTGTTTATTAAATTTTCAGAATTTATCCACACGTACTATACACAAAAGCAAAAAAAACTGTTTCGATTATTATATGTCAAAAAGAGAAAACAAAAGTCAAATATTTTTAAATTTTAACGTAATATTGCACGATATAAAATGGCAGACGTCTGTTATAGTACATCGATCCGTAATCTATGAGATGGAATTTTAAACGCCTACAATTTTAATAAGAGCAAAACGAGTTTGTAGTTTTTGTAACAATACCGGACAATCGTTAAATTGCTTGTAGGAGATTATCAAAATGATTTTATAATTATTATTAATAGAAATTATATTTAGAGTAATATGGAAAGAAATACTATTTACGTATTCAAAAAAATAGCTTTACAAAAATATTCTAATCAAATAATTTCTATCACTCTAATATCATTTAAACTACAGTTTTAGGCCCTCCAATTTTTATTTTCCAAAGCCTTCGAATTTATTGACGTACAATATTATTAAATGTAAAAATTCCACACCTTCTAAACGTTTTAAATATATTTAGAAAACTCGTACGTTTATTTTGATTTAATATATATTTAATAAATTACTCACGTATTGTATATTTCTTGTCGGAGTGTCGAGCAGCCCTCGAGGTCTGCGACGAACGCCTCTTATATC